CTGTATACTCTCAACTTGGGCCATTTCTTCCATGGCAGTGACTTTAACTCTCTGTCATGCACATGTATGGCACCAAATTCCTCCTTGAGTTTCTGTCCCTAAGTGTATTCCCAGCACTTCCTTCCCAGCTGTCTCAACTTTTCCCACAAACCTGTCCTCTGTTCTTCCCAGTTCCTTTCACACCAGCACTCTCTCCGTATTCCCAATCATCTCACATTTATCTTTTAGGAATTAAAAAGTATCACATTCACTTACAACAAAAGATGATAAAAACATAAAAGGCTCTCCACGATTTATCTCTTGTGACCTTTAAAAAAACTTGAAAAAATTTTAAAACAATTCTGCTGTGTACCCAGACTTAAAGCTGGAATTCCAGGCTTGTGCCACCAGGGCCACCATCCCAACTGACCTTTCAGTTTTGTTTCTGTCAGACCTCTCCCTCATTCTTCCCAATGAAATTCTTTCCTTAAGAGGTATGAATTTTTTTATTTTTGAAATTAAAATATAATTACATCACTTCCCCATTTTCTATTCTCCCTCTAAACCTCCCATACCTCTTCTTGATACCTTTCAGATCCATGCCTCCTTTTTATATTGTTTTATCCATACATACATAATATGCACTCACATATATGTATATACACATAAACTCAAATGAATAGATACAACCTGCTCAGTCTGTTTATTCGGGCCTGACCATCTGAAAGTGGGTAAGCTATTTGGAGACTCTTTCCTAGGGGAAGATTATTTTCTCCCCCTGAGCATTCCTTAGTTGCTAATAGTTATTCTTAAGGGGTGGGGTCTCTTGAAATGTTTCCTTTCTGTGTTGTCATGTCTATTGGTGTTGTACTTGTTCAGGTTTTGATTAGGCAGCCATATAGTTGAGGGATCATGGCTGAAGCTTCCCTGTCACTTCCAGGAGACACAGCCTTTCAACAGATTTCCTGCTGCTTCAGCTCTTATAGTCTTTCTGTCCTCTGCAATTCTAAGTGCTTCCTGAACATGTGGCTAGGTCTTTCCCATGCATGCTTCCAGCATCTACATCACGTATCCATTTCATGCTTTCTCTAAAGCCCAGGTCCCTCCTCTTGTGTGTGAAGTTTGCCCATATTTTCCCAGATTCAGATATGTTCTACAATCACCTTCTCTAGAGTTTTGCATGTGTGCTACCAAAGCACGTGCCATGGGCCATTTTTATTGATTGTTCATGACTGGCTGTCACATTCACTTGTGAGGGCTCCAGGATCAACAACCTATGTTCAACTTTAATTCCCTTCGTGTGAGATAGGAGTAAGTGTTCATTAAATGAAAGAATAGACTCCTGTTTTCACACACACCAGTTCCCTCATGTGTGTTTGTATGTGTGAGTGTATGTGTGGTATGCATACATCTATGTGGGTGTGGTTGTACAAGTACTCACGTGTGTGTGTGTGTGTGTGTGTGTGTGTGTGTGTGTGTGTGTGTAAGCCAGGGGTCAACATCCAGGCACTATTTTTCTTAAAGATAGGGTTTCTAGCTTTTCTGGGCTTACAGCTATGTGCCTTCATACTCAGTTCTTTTGTTCATATATATAACTTTATTGTATGGGTATTTGCCTGAACTTATAGACTGTTGTGATATGCTATATGGGTATTGGGACCAGAACCCAGGTTCTCCGCAAAGGCCAGCTCTCCAGTTCTCTCCAGCCCCATCTCATTTTTTAAACGGATAAATTTTGTCATTTGACAACTTCATATACATATATATGCATATATAAATATATATAAATAGATATGTATAGATATGCAATTATATGACCTCCCGCCAACATCTTCTCTTATCTCCCTTTTATTCCTATCAATCATCACCTCACTGATTCATTGATACTAGTTTGTTTCATACTTTGTTTTTATTTTGTAATGCATTTATTTTAATCTGGGCCATATATATGACCAGTGGATTTGAACTACCTATTGGAGTCTGGTTAGGTCACCAGCGAGCACTTAGCTGAAGGTCTTACCTTTCTCTGAATATATCAATACCAAATAGTCCATCCCTGGTGAGTAGGGCCCCATGAACCTTTCCTCCACCCATACCTGACTGTTGATGGACCCATTCTTTTGCAGTGCTGTGAGTTCCCGATTGCAGTTGCTGTGTGTTCTGCAATAGATAGCATTCCCCAGAGCTACTCCCTGTCTCCAAGCTCTCACATTATTTTCAGCTGTATTTTACATGGGTTCTGGGGAGGAGGGTTAACTTCATCCTCATGTTTCTGCAGCAAATACATTACTGATTGAGCTGTTTTCCTACTTTCTGTCTTTTATAATTTATTTACAGAACTAGAGATGTAACTCACTGGTAGAGGTAACTAAAATGTTTGAGGTCTGAGTTCCATTCCCAGCACAGCAAAGTTAGATATTCCCCGGATGTTTTGATATAGTTATGCACAGCGTAAGACTCAATTGAGAATAATTATTTCTGTCAACTCAAACAATTGTTATTTTGTGATGAAACTATTAATAATTATTTTTTCTGATTCTTGTTTTAATATATGGTGCATTTTTGGTCTCTATAGTTAGCCTACTGCAACACAGCCCATAAGAAATCATTTCTCCTTAGATTGTCCTCTAGAAATCTTAACTCTCTTCATAGAGTGATAGAACTTGTGTTTTTGTTTAAGAAAAGGTTGTGTTACAGGAGGCTGGCTGAACTTTTGGTCCTCCTATCCTCCTGCTTTATCCTTCCCATCACAGGGAATCAAAGTGTGCTACCATGTGCATCTGTCTTCCATTTTGACACCTTCAGTGCCCTCCGTGCCATATTTTAGACATTTCCAAACCAGAACTCGCATTTTTCACTTACCCTTCACAATAGTCTTATAATCTGACTATGATTCACTGGTGTTATCTGCAAGGAGCAGATATAGCAAGTCTGGGTCTTGGATCTCTTGCTTTCATTAGCAGAATATCCATTCCACACAAAATTCTGAGCAAAGGGAAGTCTCTTATCATCTACTTGTGTTGATCAGAGTTAATGCAGAGGTTCATCAAGGTTTATGAAAGCAGTTAAACCTTTATAGACCTCTCCTGTGCAAGTCTAACATGAATAATTTCAGTGAGTTTGAAGGTTTGGAGCATAGAAACTGAGGATGTAGCTCAGTGGCAGAGGCCTTGCATGGTATGGTGAAGCGGTGGGCTCTGCTCTCTGCACTAAAAATACAAACATACTGTTCTTTTGTTTTGGTTTTTGTTTGGTTTGTTTTCTTGGTTTATCAAGACAAGATTTCTCTGTGTATTTAGCTCTGGCCATCGAGGAACTTGCTCTGCAGACCAGGCCTCAAACCCAGAGTTTTCCTTGCCTCTGCCTCCCTAGTTCTGGTATTAAAGGTAGGCACCACTAAGACCCAAGCATTCTGTTGAAAGTTTAAGGCAGCCTGGTGGTGGTGGCGCACACCTTTAATCCCAGCACTTGGGAGGCAGAGGCAGGCGGATCTCTGTGAGTTCGAGACCAGCCTGGTCTACAAGAGCTAGTTCCAGGACAGGCTCCAAAACCACAGAGAAACCCTGTCTCGAAAAACCAAAAAAAAAAAAAAAAAAAGAAAAAAAGAAAGTTTAAGGCATAAATCAGAAAGACAAAAAAAAAAAATGGGGCAAAGTAGAAAACCCCTCAGGGCCCTTTGGGAAAGCAAAGGACTTTAGTTAGTGGCCTGAAAAGAAAAGGTTTAGTTTTTCAACAAGACAACATAGTGTCTGGAGCAGTAATATCGTCTATGGCACCTGGGTGGGAAATGCTTTGACGTCCAAGTTTCTCTTAGAGAGAAGGCAGGAAAAGCATTGCCATGAAAGCTGAGTGTGTGTCTGCTCTTACCACCTCAGCACACTGTGCTCATGCATCAATGCATCTGCAGTGCCAGGCTGCTTGCCTCCCACGGGTAAGTTCAACATGGCTGACTACACAGAGGTATTTAATCCAAGCTCTGACCCAGAGGTGAGGAGGGCTGCCATGAAAACAGAACCAAGATTAGTAGGCAACGTTCAATGCTTGTGGCCTCTCTCTGGTTCTCAGAGAGTCAGGTCACTTGTCCAGTTCTCATGACAGGAAGAAAGGTGATCTCTTGATAAATATGGTCCTTTAAGATCAATGGACGGCAAATCTTTAAACAATTTCTCTACAGATTTTGAGAGCACCTTCTAGGAATTTAGGTACCAGTTAAACTGCCTATGATGAGAGCATTGCTTATTCTCACTGGCCCTGTGACTTGGAGCCCGCCTGACCTTCTCTAGAGAGTTCCATTTCTTATAATCCCCTCCCAGGTCTGACTTCTGCGCTTCTTACCTTTGTTGTGTCCATAGTCTCTCTACGAATGGGCAGTCTTTGTCCCCATTCTTACCAAATATGGAGTGGACTTGGGCCTAGTAGCAGTTTGGTCACCCTACAATACTCAGGGAGAGACTGCCAGGGTAGGTGGGGCTAAAAGCAGCATTCGCCAAGAAGGCACGGTTAGCTCTGTTGAACTCATAGCAATCAGGGGGCCACAGAGAATTCGGGAAGTCTGAGCGATGCTTGACAACAGGATCTATCTCCTTTTCTTTTTCAAGACCACTCGATCAATGACAAGATAAAAACCTGTTGCTTGCCTTTTCTAAGTTAGTAACGTGTCTAGATCAATCTGGAACCAATATCTGACCTTTGAGGGTCTTCCCAACCCCAAGTGTCTCCAGCTTTCCAGTTCCCTTTCCCCTCAACTGGAAAATTCTAGCAGCATTCTTGAAGGAAACGATCAAAGTCTAACACCAAACCCTCAGCAAGCTTCCAGTCTCCCATTTGTGGCCAGGGACTCACTGAATCCACTCCCCAGGAAAAACACAGACAGACAATAGCTCAATTCCACCCACAAGGACAGCCCCAGGTACAGCAAGAGTCGGGATTCTGGGGTCCGCCCCCGCCCCTTTGCCTTGCTGGCCTCCCTTGAGCTGGCCATTTGTCTGAGAACATAGCAGGAGCTCACAGCGGCGACTGACCTGATATGCCGCCCCCCACCACGATCACATCGCATTTGTTGCTCATGGTGCTCGCTAGGTTCCAGGCCGCTCACGTCGCCCGCTACTGTGTCAGGACGTTTGCCTGTAGCCGCGCTGTGCGCTGTCCCTTCACGCTAGTGCCTGGGCAGAGCGGCTATAAGCTGGCAGGAGTCTGGACTCTAAGCCCCGCCCTCCTGCCACTGCGCAAGTCCTCGCCTCCGCCCCTTGCCCGATGGTCCAGGCTTAAGGAGGGCGGACACCCCAGCTGAGACGGTGACCTAGAACAACAAAGTCCTTCCTCTGAGTAAACAACCCCTTGCTTTCTGCTATGTATTTTCCAATCAGCCTCGCAATCACTCTATGCAACTGAGAGGATAGAAAGTCTTTTAATAGGGGTGAAGAATCAAAGATTGAGAGCTTTGCAAGTGCCAGGCATTGTGTTAAACTCATTGTGCAAGATTCCCGTTCAACTTCACAGTGACCCATTTTTACACAAGAAGAAAGCAGACAAAATACTAAGCAAAAAGCTACAAAGTAAAATTATGTTAAAATGTCACCTCGTGGGGCTCAAGAGATGGCTCTAACAGAGGAGCCCTGTTCAATACACACAGCCATCTGTAAATCCCAGTCCCAGGGGATACCACACTCTCTTCTGTCCTCCAGTGGGCACCAGGCATGCACGTTGCATTCATACATGCAGGCAAAACACCCACATACATACAACAATTAAAATCACATCGTACCCCAGAGATGTTTGATTAATATCTGCCCACTTCCAGTAATAACAATAAAAGGAAGAATTCAAGGCTCACCTTATCGACCTAACAGAATTATCATTCCCAGCCCTGGTCACCTCCATTTCAATTATCTGCTCTGTCCCTGACACACACACACACACATATCATGATATTATTTAGTTAACTGCAAAAGACTGCCCTAACTTGTGCTGAAGCACATAACCTAAAGACACTCAATTTTGCACACTTCTACAAGGCAAAGAAAAAAGTAATCTGTAGGAGACCAGAGGACGGGAAGCTCAGTGGTAGAGCCCTTGCCTACTATCAGACAAACCCTAAAACACCCAGTGCCACAAGGGAAATAATGCAACCAATTGCCCATTAAGCAACCAGTGCATCTATAGTGTAAACTATGAAGGATGGTTCCCAGAAAGTTGGTGATGGCAGGGGAGAGGCCTTGGGTAGGCAAGTGGAATTTGGGAGTTTCCAATAGAGCACGGTGAGTTATTTTTATCCAACGTTGGGTTGGCTACCTGGGGACTATGGCCTTTACAGTTACAGAAGTCATTTGACAGGGCTATAAATGCTTAAGCTTAAGAGATCAGGCAAAACAGGGATGTATGTTTTTCTAAGGACTAGAAAGGCCACCTTTGATAACTAAAAGCTAGAAGTGGATAACTTTTGCGGTGATGTGCTTCTGTTCAAGGTAGTGGAACTGCCACTCTCAGAGGAATTAGCTCCAGTGAGCTGCCAAGTTGAAAAGAACCAAAGGCAAACGTGTACTTCATCTTACTTCACTCCCTAAATCCACTTGTCACTAAGGGACTTGGTGCTCCAGCTGCTCACAGACTAGGAAGAGTAAGGAGAGCCCATCTGTTGCTGAGAATTACCAGAGGCAGAAGGGTCTTATTCTTAACATGTTCATTTTCATTGTCAACTTGGCAGGCTTTAGAATCATATAGAAATCACATCTCCAGGTGTGTCCGTGAGAGTGTTTTTGTTGTGCCCAGATTATGACTCCCAGAGAGAGACGACCAAAGAGGCCCAGACTGTAATAAGCAAGGTTTAATCAACATAATACAAAGAAATTTGGAACTCATCTCCATCCCCGTTACAACAAGGTATAGAGGAGTTATATCTCCTCTGTGAGGTAAGCTTTTTTTTTTTTTTTTTGTGGGGTAAGCTTTTAAAGGTATAACTACAAAGAGAATCTTTGAAGATGCTTTGGCATGGGTACAAGGACTTCTGTTAAGTCAGCTTTCTCCTTGTTCTTAGAGCAAGGCCACTGTTCTTGAGTTAGGACATCTTTATCAGCCTGTACCAGGTGGCTGGTTGGGCTGAGCTAAGTGACCTTGTGCTTGGAATGTCCTGGGTGGGAGAGGGGAAGGCCACTATCTTCCTGGGAAAACATTCTATTAGGAAATTTCTTCTTTCCCCTTTGAGAATAAGGGGTGAGAGTCCCACAGTTTCCTGAGATGTTGAATTGGAAAACCCATTCTAAACATGGGTGGCACTGTCTTATGGGACTAGGTACCTAAGGTGAAAAGGGGAAATAAGAAAAAGCAAATGAGATTCATCTCTCTGCTTTCTGACTAGATGAGATGCACAATGTGAACAGTTCCTGCCACCATGCCTTCTCCACCATAATGGACTCTACCATAATGGACTCCACCATAATGGACTGCATCCATGCCTTTTCTACCATAATGGACTGCATCCATGCCTTCTCCACCATAATGGACTGCATCCATGCCTTCTCCACCATAATGGACTGCATCCATGCCTTCTCCACCATAACGGACTGCATCCACTCAGTGAGTCAAAATAAACCCTTGCTCTCCTGCATTGTTTCTTGTCAGGTATTTTGTCAACAAGGAGAAAACTTAACAATATACTTAGATTCTAAAATTTCCAGACACTTGAACCCTGCACTCCACCTACAACCCTACTACAGAGAGTGATGAGCCATCTCATCCTGCAAGCAGCCCACACTGACCTCTTCCTTACCACTCTCTTCTGCATTCACCTTCATGCACAGCTACCTGAGGCTGAGGACCTCTACAACCTGTACCCCCTTTTAACTTGCAATTGAATCACATCAGGTGGAGATGATCTTAATAGGATCTGTCTGAAACCACTTTTGCTTTTTTCCAACAGTGTTTCAACCAGTCTTGAATATCTAAGGTTTTGAGCCGAAGACAGACTGGTACTTCCCTGTGTCCACCTGACAATGTGACCAAAAGAAAGCTCGAAGAGTTCCATGGTGTCTGGAGAAAACACACTTATTCCTTTGGACAAAGCTAGCTCTTTACCTTTTACTTTATAAGATATAAATGGGTTGAATCAGAACTCAGACCTTGGTAACAGGGAACCAGAGCCCTTAAAGAGTTTCTGAGGCTATTTCCGTCCCTTGAAGTCATCCAGGCCTATATTGAGTCCTCAGTCCCCTAGGTGAGACAGTGCCTCTAGTCTTTTGTCTCTCTCTGCTTTACTGAAAAAACAAAAGTAGTGCTTCTGAATTTGAGCATGCATACACAACAATCTGGACTGCACAGAAACCAGAAGAATTTCCTTCCTTCCTTCCTTCCTTCCTTCCTTCCTTCCTTCCTTCCTTCCTTCCTTCCTTCCTTCCTTCCTTCCTTCCTTCCTTCCTTCCTTCCTTTCTTCCTTCCTTCCATTTATTATTGCTTTCTGTCTTTCTGTCTTCCTTCCTTCCTTCCTTCCTTCCTTCCTTCCTTCCTTTCTTTCTTTTTGTTTATTTGAGACAGGGTTTCTCTGTAGCTTTGGAACCTGTTCTGGAACTAGCTTTTGTAGACAAGGCTATCCTCGAACTCAGAGTTCTACCTGCTTCTGCCTCCTGGGTGCTGGGATTAAAGGTGTGTGCCACCACCTCCCGGCTCAAAAGAAGTGCATTTCTAACAAGTTCTAGAGGATAGACATGCTCCTGGCCCATCATATATACAGGTTTCTGCATTGCTATGAATTCTAGACCAACCTCAGGTTCTAATGCCCCTTACCAACTTCAAGGAGTTCCTTTAATATTCATATGGGAGGTATCTGATATGGTTTTTAACATGATTTCTTTCCACTAGAGCACATGTTGAGGCTTAATTCTTCAAAGAGATGGTACTGAGAGATGGTTTGACATTTAAACCTCTGACTATGGATTCTCCTCCTTATCAATAAATTAATATAGTTTTGAAGAGCAAGTTATTATAAAAAAGTTTGTTATAAAGAAAGCCTGAATTCCTGCCCCTTGCTTGGGCACCACAATAGAGCCATTCCTATTGGCAGAGGTGTGGTGAGCCAGCTCCAAAGTTGTGAGCATAGGAGAACTGTCCCCATTACTCATCAGTCATGTGGCAGCAAGGGCAGGGGAGAGATACCCTCCCACCACCCGTCAACACCTAAGGCAGGTGGGAGAGCTGGTCATAAGATAATAAGAGCAGAAGAGCTGTCCCTGCCTCTCATCAGCTGCAGCACAACTGTACCACAACTGGGCAACACAGTAGAGCTGGCACTGAAGGTGTAGTGTGGGGCAGCAACCCTGAGGACATGAAAGTGGGAGAAATGGACCCTCCTCTTGCTCATGGTGGCAAGGACTGAACCAGCCAGGGCAATGCTGGAGAGCTCACCCTGATGGTGAGGAGGACAAGGGAGAGCTGGTGGGCTGACCAAAAGCAGCAACTTCCCAGGCCCAGAACCAGAGTTATGAGGTGGCCCACCCCAATATCCACCCCATCTATGATCTTCTGGAGCACGTAAAAAGACTGGTCCTGCAGAGCCAAAGCTGCAGAATCTCCACAATGCAAGACAACAACAGGATAGCCAAGAGGAGTGCCAGAGAGGACCCAGCATCCATAGTGTAGCAGAAACCAGAGGCCTCTAACGAGACCTTTGCAATGAGCACTTCTTGTGACTCACTGTGTCTGTCACACTACAGCTTCCATGATAGAATTGATTTTTCCATTTTGTTTTTGTGGGTTTTTCCCTAGATTTTATTTTATTTTATTTGGGGATATGTTGCAAGGGCAGAGCACAGATAGGAAGAGACAGGACAATAAATGGTATAGAGATGCATTATTTGAAAGACACAAAGAATAAATAAATAGAAAGTTAAAAAAGAAATAAAGAGAGCCTGCACATCCTCTCATTCTATCGCACGCCTTTCTTCATCATGCGTCTTCATCTGCTTTTCTGCTGTGCATGGGGCCCTCACCAGAAACCAGCTCTATACTAACTCTGTGTTCTTGGCCTACCAGACTGTAAGACAAAAATCAATATTTTTACTTTCTGAATATCTCATTCTCAATTATTTTGCTATAATAACAGAAACCAGACTAATACAGTGTCTACTTATTATGTTAGCCTTTATTGAATACCTGCTCTTCTGAGCCCTACTGAAGAGAACAAGATAGAAGCCTT